GGCCTCGGGCCCCGCCTCTCACGGCGCCTCTCCTCGGGTCCCTCCAGAGCGCCCCATCGGGAACTCAAGCGAGAACCCCGTTTTGAAACAGGCCTCCCTCAACCTTATCCCCCTGGCCCACCCCAGCCCCCAGAGGCCTCGGGCCCCGCCTCTCACGGCGCCTCCCCTTGGGTCCCTCCAGAGTGCCTCATCGGGAACTCTTGTTTTGAAACAGGAGCCGCCATCAACCTCACCTGCTTGTGAGATTGAGTTGTCTGATCAGTTTGACACATGTATGTGCTTCGTTTCCGTTCGTATGGACTTTGGCACTTTCCCACAGCATTATGTGTGTGCCTTAGCCATTGGGGCTCCAGTCGTATATTGCTTTTCGTATCTCTTTCCATATTTGCACGCGCGTCCGTATTGTTGGCAATGGCAGGGCAGTGGGACGAACAGACTGGGGAGTATATCCCATCCAACGAGGAGGTGGCCGAGGGTATGAGGCGCTGGTCTGTGTCACCCGGCGGGGACGGATTGGTATTCCAATGGCTCAAGGCTCAGGAGAGACAACAGTACCACATAGCTAGGGGGGTGGCCGCTCACTCTTCGAGCTGGTGGTTCCTTCCGGGCATGCCTCCAGAGAGTGCCTGGAACGAGGTGCCACCAGCTCGAGGGGAAGGCGCGGCCACCCCCTTAGCTGGTGGTATTGGTACTTTTTTCTCTCCTGAAAGGTGCTGCGCGAGACCACGTGGTTCGCGACCGCAGTGTATTTTCCGTGTATGTGGCAGGGACTCACGGGTGTATGCCTGTGTGTGTCGACCGCGGAGAGCACGCGCCGTTCAAAGGAGAACGGTATGGTCGAGAACCAGCGGCGTATGGGAGGCATCGAGACCCCAGAGTGGATGGCGTTCGCTGTATACTTCTACCCTGGCTTGGTATTCGGCAACTTTGATGGTTTCAAAGATCCAGCCGCGCAGTATCTGGGCACACTTGCGGAAGTATTCAATCGGCTGTGCACCCAAGCTGGTATAGCGAACTGGAGTTCGCACGTATTCGTCCGACCCGGCGGCTGGGTGTATGCTGGCTTGCGCAGGCTGTTGCAGCTCCTGCGTATTCACGTGCATTCCGAGGTGGTATCAGGTCTGTCATACAGGCGCATGGCGAGCCTGGATGTATTTGTGGCAACACACACGGCATCCATGGGCATGGAGCCGCCATGTATGGCTCTGTGGAATGCCTCCCACGACGTCAAGGATGGTATCACCTTGTTCCCGAAGCAGGATCATTGGTGGCACATGCCTGTATGGCGTTCTTTCGGGCAGTCCGAGTATGGGAATGTCATGGATTACCGTGTGGATCTGGGTATGCCGGCGCATGTCCAGGGCGTCCTGGCGGTATTGGCGCCCCACGGACGCACGGGCGATGTGTCCGCGAGGAGGCGTATCGGCACCATGCTGGGACACTTGGCCCCTGATGTATGGGTGCCAGGAGCGCAGCGCGCAGTATTGCGCCCGATGCGTGCCATTAGGGACAGGCGCATGCCAGAAGACGATGAGCACACAGACTCGTCTCTTTCGTATGCTTCCAGAGCACGTATGCGTCCGCCTCGCCTTGTCCTGCTGCTCCTCCTCCTCCTCCTCCTCCTCCGGCGGGGCACCCATGGGGGCAACCATCGGGACCACCATCGGAACAACCATCGCGGCAACCATGGGGACAAGCATCGGGACAACGATCGGGACAACCACAACCATCGGGACAACCATCGGGGCAACCATCGGGACATCCATCGGGACAACGATCGGGACCACCATCGGGGCAACCATCGGGAGAACCATCGGAACAACAATCGGGACAATCATCGGGACACTCATCGCGACAATTATCGGGACAACCACAACCATCAGGACCTCCAACCAGAGAGAGGTAGTCACGTGTATTTCGTCGACGAGTGAGCCAGTATTGCACATTGAGGCCGGAACGAGAACCACAGAACAAGAATGAGCATATATCGTCTCACAACAACGGAAACAAGTCCTGTGGTATGCTGGCGCCACGCACGTGATACCAGTCAAAATAAGGGTCTTGGCTTGTGTGGTACAGAAACGTTAAAACGTCGGAAAACGGTACACGTGCCCATTGTTGGAACAGGGGTATAAGTCGTATACTAAGCTAGTTTCCACAAGATGTTACCACAAGAAGTCATTGTAACCATGCGCCAGTGTAGTAGCCAAGGTCGTCCGCAGGCCACGAAGTGAAGTGTCCGAACGTCATAGGGCGGGAAGCTGGGTGTGGGTGGTGGCGAAGAGTCGTTTGGAAACTTGGTAGAGCTTGAACCGGCCCCCCCACAAAGTGGGGGTATTGCCCGCCTCCTATGAAAACCCTGGCACTGGTGAGAACGGAGTGTCCCCAGTCTTAAATGATTGTTGTTGTTGTTGTTGTTGTTGTTGTTGTTGTTGTTGAATTCTCATTTCTGAAGAATATGCGTGAGGGGGGAGGCGTAGACGGACCCCGATCTTAGTGAGCAGGTGCGGGGCTGCGGTTGCCGTAGCCTTTTGGGTTCAAGATTGCTGCCCGTGGCAACGGGTAGCTTCGCGCCCGTCCGCGGTTGCCGCGCCAGGAGTGTAGCCCATGCCAGGCCCGTGGATCTGGGCGGCCCGCGATCCCGACTTCGCGGGCGACCAGGCCATCCATGGGCAGTCATATTATGAGATTGCCTTGTACGACGACGCCTACGTCGACCAGGGCATGGGCATCGTGTACACGCTGGGCTCCGGGAAGGTCGGGGACGCTATCTCCGCGGAGTTCGTGTGTTCGAGTGATGCTTTCTATGCGTGGTGGATGGAGAATGAGTTGAAGGACAAGAAGGGGGAGTACCACTTTTGCAGCACCTCGCGCGACAGGTGCAAGTTCAAGGGGAAGGGCGTGGTCCACGTCGACGGGTTCCGGCTGCTCGAGGGCGCGGACATGACGGCAGAGGCCATCAAGTGGCTCAAGGGCCCAGGGGGGAAACGCCTCCGGGAACACCTGGAGAGGCACTCGGGGCCAGCGGGCGCTCCAGGGAAGGAGGAGAAGCGGCCCGCTGGCGAGCCAGCGCCGGCGGCGGCCGGGCAGCTTTTCGAGCCGCCTGGCGCTGGCGGCCCAAACGACCTCCAGAAGGACCTCCGGGAGCTCCGAGAAGCAGTCCGCGGGGCCACCGACGAGCGGGCTGGCCGGGGCGCGGGCTGGCGTGGCAGCGACGGGGACCGGCGCGAGCGGCGCAGAGGGGCCGGTGCCGGGAGCGGCCCCGCACCCAGACCCCAGACGTCATGGTTTTTTCATGACGTCGACCCCCAGCGGTCTGGACCCATTCCCCAGGACCGGTTTTTCGTCCTGGGTCGTTTTTTGACGGCCCCGAGGGCCGGTAAGGGCCCCCAGAGGCCAAAAATCATGAAAACCCACCCGGCGTGATTTTTTCATGACTCGAGGGGGTCTGGGCAGCCAGGAGCGCCGCGACGGGCCGGAGAGGCACGGCCACAGCCGGCGGCGCCACCGCAGCCGGGAGCGCCGGCGCAGCCGGTCCGCAAGGGGCCGCCGCTCGGCTGGCCCGGCGCGCGACGCCTTCGCCCCGCCGGCGGGCGGCCACGCGGCGGGCTCACGCGACAATGGCGACAAGGGTGCCCCGGCGGAGCTGCCCCTGCCCGCGAGGCCGGCGCCTGACCGCCGAGCCCAGGAGCAAAGGGCTGAGCGCGACCGGCCAGACGACCGCCAGCAGCAGACGGGGAGCCCGCGCCGAGGGGCCCCTGGCGGCCGGGAGACGAGCCCGAGGCGCCGGCGGAGCCAGAGCCGCTCGCGGAACCGGCGTTCCCGCCGCTCCCGCCGCTCCCGCCGTTCCGGCCGCCGACGCGTCGACCGCGGCCCTTTCGGTGGCGCCGAGCCGCTCCGGGGTGCCCGGGACCGGAGCGAGTCGGGTTTTCACAGCGCCTCTCCCTCCCGCAGGCGGCTCGGACACGACCGCCTGTTGGAGTACGCCCGCAAGAACCCAGGCAACTTGGCCGCTCGCCTCCTTGGGAGGATGGACGCCTTGTCTTGTCGGGGGGGGGGAGGCGGCCCACGAGTTGGAAGACGGCCCGGTTCCAGCAGCGATGCGTTACTGCTACAGCATCCTGAACCCCAAGCGCCCGTCCATGGGTCCGCGGTGCTCTCGCGAGGCGAGGACGGTCTGTCGCGCCCTGGACTTGCTCGCGCAACGGAAGTACGGGGAGTGCGCGGACCTCCTGGCGCTTCGAAGGCTCTCGAGAGGGCGCTGGTGGGCGGCCATTGGGATCGGGCCATCTGGTGCGAACTCATCGCGCCGGACTCGATCACGCTGATGGGCCGCGACGAGGACCGGATGCTAGCGACGGGGCAGCAGCTCGAGCAGCGGCCCCGGCAGCGCCTGGCCTGGATTCAGCCGAGCCACGACAAGGGCTCCGGCAAAAGCTAGGACAAGGACAAGGGCAAGGGCAAGAACAGGGACAGGCCCGAGAGGGGAGGCCCGCCGTTGGGCTAGCCGAGGCCACCTGCCTCGGCGCCCTGGCCGGCGTGCCCAGCAGCGCGGGGGCCGCCGAAGACCTGCGGCAGTGGCGCTGCGCCCTGCGGACGCGGTCGGTTGGGGAGCTGGCGCTCCCGGCCTTGGGCCGGGTGCTCTGGGACTCCGTCTGCCGCCTGCCGACCCCCTTGGGGGAGTTCGTCAGGGCCTCCTCTTCCAGCGCCAAGCCGGGCGGGCGGCGGAGGGGTCTGCTGCCGCTGCCCGTGGCGGTCTTCGCGCAGAGGGGTGGTTGCCACCCTTCCCGTCCAGGGCGCTGGTCCGAAGGACATGCCTCCTGGTACCGCCTCGTCGGGCATGCGCTGAATTTCCTGGGCAGCCGCATGGGCCAGAAGCCAGGGTTCACGACCCCCCCCCGCGAGGCGTCGCTGGTCCGGGAGAAAGCGATGGACCGGCTGAGCTTATGGCTGGAATGGTTCTTGTCCGAGGACGACGAACCGCCCCCCCCGTGCAGCAGGTCGTCCAGGAAGCGGGCCAGGCGCGCGTCCAATGCGATGGCCGCGCCGCCGGCATCCGCCGCGACTTGGTTGCGGACTTGGTTTTCCCCACCTGGCCAGGCGCAGGCGAGGTCGGCGTGGTTGACCTCGCAGCCTGCCTGGAGGGGGAGCTCCTTGCACAGGTGTCAGATCCGTGGAAGTGCCTGCTGCCGCGGAAGGAATGGCCCCTCCGGCCCGCCCGGTCCAAGGTCCACGGGGGCCAAGAGGAATGGGATAAGTTGGTCAAGGAGGGCCTGCGCCGAGGGCTCTTCCGAGAAGCTGCCCCGGCGGCTTTTTTTCGAGGGCGGGCCGGCCACCCCATTTTCAGCGGAGCCATGGGCGCTGACAAGGAGAAGGTGGTCGACGGTGTGCCGCGCTCATTTTTACGCTTCGTATCCATATTGACTCCTTCGAATGAGCACACGCGGCCAATCCAGGGCGATGTCGATTTCCTCCCATTCATTGCCCAGGCGATGTTGGTGGTGCTAAAGGAGGACGAGAGCGCGGTCGTGGACAGCGAGGACTTCGTGAGCTGCTTCAACTTGCTGCGGGCGCCTCGAAGCTGGGACGGCTTCCTCGTGTATGGGCGCCCGGTTTCGGGGGCCGTTCTCGGTCGCCGCGCAGAGGACGCCTTCCGCGTCTCGCTCGCGACGGTGCCGATGGGTTTGTCTGGCGCCGTGGCCGTCGTCCAGGCGGCGGTGCGCCGCCTCGTTCTTGGCGAGGCGGAGGTCGATCTGGCTACCGAGGTGGCTAAATCCAAGGCGTTCCCGAACGGCCCGAACTACTCCTTCGTGCACTTGGACTCTTTCGATTTCATCCGAGTCTGGGTTAGGGCCCTGGCCGAGGCAATGGCTGGGCAGGAGTCGCCGGAGCACCGGCGTCTCGTTAACGGGTGCGCCGCCGCCATGGCTTGCCGCTCAACAAGGCCAAGTCGCTCATCGGTTCTTTCCAGGCGCTCCTGCAGGGCGGGGAGTTCGACGGGGCAGCCGGCATCTGCGCCCACAGGCGCCGGCGCGGCCGCGATTTGTTACGCTTATCCGTGGGCATTGCGGCCGCCGAGGTGGCCGCGGAAGCCGCGCTTCGCCACTGGGCGGGCCTCGCGTGCTTCTGCGCGGTTTACCGCCGCCCGCTGTTCTCCATCTTGCAGGACATCTTCGCAGTCATCGACTCTCCGGGCCGTCAAGGGCCCGTTCATGCCAGCGCCTTGGAGGAACCGCTCCTTCTGAGCGCGCTCGCGCCGCTGGCCGGGGCCAATCTGCGGGCGCAAGTGGGGCCCCACATCAGCTGCTCTGATGCTTCGCCACATGGTGGCGGAGCCGCGGTTGCCGACAGCTTCGGAGCGCTCGGGGCTACCCCAGCCTTCGCGGAGGTCTCTGGCAACGCGGGCGCTTCTCTGTCTGAGGCCGTGCGCCGTCGGGGAGTGTCTAGTGCTCGCTGGCGAAATTGGTATCGAAGGCGCCCGGGGCCAGTGCGCCCGCCTCCGCCGCCTTGCACTCCCTGGTGAACATTGCTATTGGGACCATTTGGAGCCCATCTGCGCCCTTTTGGAGCGCCAGGCCGGAGGGCGCGGCACCAGCGGCCCCCTGCGGAGCTCCCGCCGGCTCCTGGGGGCCGCAGGCGCATCTGGCGACCATCGCAGCCGCCTCTGGGCCTCGAACGAGCTCGCCGGCCTCGCCATCCGGGCCTTGGAGGCACGGTTGGTGCGCCCAGGCTTCACCGTGGTGTCGCAGCCACCCAGCAGCTGGCTCTGGAGATTCCCCCGGGCGCGATGGCTGATGCAGCAGCCCGGGATATTTCCCACGGAGGCGTTGGGGAGGCATTGGATGCACAACTCGCTTGCGCTGCACCGTCGCGTTGCCGAGCGCCTGGGGCAGCAGGGCGAGGTGTGCGAGGACGAGCTGTGGGGCATCTACGCGGACGTCGTGGCGGCTGCATGCCGGGCGCACGGCGAAGCGTCGTGCCCGCAGGGGCCGGGGCAGCAGGCCTTGTGGCTCAGCGCCCAGCTCCGGGAGGCCACCGAACGGCTCGGCGACGCGCAGCTGAATGAGGTCATGGTTCAGGAGATCATGGATTGGCTCTCTGCCATGCAGGCCGGCGGCGAGGAGGGCCAACTCCGCGATCTGGTGCGAGCGGCCGACCATCGCGGTTCAGATGTCCGGCTGTGGGCTTCGGAGGTGCTCCGGAGCTCACGCCAAACCGCTCCCTATCCAGCATTTTGTTGGCAGTGGAAGCCGGTGTCCAGCTACGCTTGGCGTAGCGCTGGACACATCAATGTCTTGGAAGTTCTTGCGTTCGTCAACTACGTCAAGTTTTCTTTGAAGTGCGTCTCGAGCGTGTCGAGGCGCTTCGTGCATGTGCTCGATGGTATGGTTGCTACGGCCGTGATATCCAAAGGGCGGTCGACGTCGCGACGCTTGAACGGTCCTTTGAGGGAGGTTGCTGGCTATTTGTTAGCGGCCGATGCCTATCCTTTCGCTGTGTGGACGATTTCTGATTGGAGCTTTGCGGACCAGGCCAGCCGGAGGGTGGAGCAGCGTCAGGACCCATGGGAGTGAGAACTACCAGGCGGGCCTCTAGGAGGGCCCGCGGTTCACGGATGGGCACCCTGAAAGAGGCCGGCGTTGCGGCAGCGACATTATCAAGATATCGAGCTCGAATTCGTACATTTTTCGATTACTTTGACTTTTTTGAGCAAGATCTTCCTGGCGCGCTCTGCGCCCTCGACCGCGCTGCGGGCGCCTATTTTGACCATTGTGGCAGGAGGGCGAGCCCGAGAGCTGGGCGGCAGATTTCGCGTCGGCCCTGAAGCGCCTCGTGCCGGCCAGCCGCCGCCACTTGTGCGCCTGCAACTTCTACCTTGCAAATTGGCGGAAGACTATTCGAAGGTGCAGGGCGTTCCCGCTCCCAGCCTTGCAGCTGCTATTCTTTTGGCGTTTGTGGGCCTTCAGCGCACAGAAGAGATCCTAGGAGCTCGTTTCCGGCACCTTCTGCTGTGCCAGCGCGACTCCCATGCAATACTTCTTCTCCTGGAGTCCAAATCAGGCTCCCGCGGGAACTTCGAAGAAAAGGTGGTCATCTCCGATCCGCTGGTCATCCAGGCGGCGGCGCGGGCTCGCCGAGGGCGCGCCCAGGTCGACGGAATCTTTTCCGGGACCGCCGTCCAGTTTTAGAAGGCTTTGCAAGAGTTGTGCCAGCAGGCGCGACTTCCATGGCAAGATGTCCGTGGGTACAGCCTTCGGCGGGGAGGCGCTATTTTTTTTTTTTTTTTTTTTTTTTGTTGTTTTTCTTTTTCTCTCCTCTTTTTTTATGTCCTCCGGCAACTTGGAAAAGACTACAGAGCACGGGCGGTGGGCGCAGGGTCGCACAGCCAAGATTTGCATCGATAGCGCTTTGGTTCAGCAAGCTGAGTGGAAGATGCCCGAGAGATCTCGCCGCATCTTGGAATTGGGCAGCCGCGTGGCGTGCAACGTGCTCGACGTCGCCTCCGGGGCCACCCTGGCAGGACCTCTCCGTTGCGGATAGGGGGCCGGGCAGGCGCCGGGTGCCGGTCGCCATGCCGGCTGCTTCCTTGGGAGGCGGCCATTGGGAGGCCGCCGGGCCAACATCTGGAGTTGGTTGCGGGTCATGCCGCTGCGGCGATTCCGCGCCCGCGCCTAGGGCTAGAGCCTCCAGGGCGTTTCCAAGGGAGGCGCGGCCGGAGCAAGAGCTGCCGGGCCGGAGCAAGGGCTGCCGGGGTAGGTCCAAGACCTGCCATCAGTGGGTCCTGGCGGTGCGGCGTGTGGAGGCGGTTGCCGCTTTCGCCCTTGAGTGCAAGGGCGTGTCCACGGGTTGGGCCCAGGCTGCCTGGGGGGGCTGGCGCCGCTGCGGCGTTCCCATCCCGCCGTGTCCCTGCTCGAGGGGCACAGCTCCGCGCGAGCCCCTGGCCGGCAACAGTGCACGGCAGCGGAGAGGTTGGCGCTGCGCCTCCTCCCAGGGGGTCTTGGGCGCGCGCTCGCCGGAAGGCGCAGCCCCGCCTTCGGGGGCAAGCGAGCGCTTGACGCCACGAGGCCAAAAACATGGTAAGGGGCAGACGCAGCATAGCAGCAAACACTATGTGTGAGGGGGGAGGCGTAGACGGACCCCGATCTTAGTGAGCAGGTGCGGGGCTGCGGTTGCCGTAGCCTTTTGGGTTCCCACCGCCGCCACCTGCACCGCCGCGCTGCCGTGCACGTGAGCTTCCACTGGTGTACATAAGCCTTGTCTTAGCATCCTCTGGGAGGCGCGCAAGGGGAGCGCTTGACGCTACGAGGCCAAAAACATTGGAAGGAGCAGACGCAGCATAGCAGCAACCACTAATTATTGTTGATCCCCCCCACCGGTGCGTACTGTTTTTTTCAATCAAAGTGTGCCCCTCGACGCTCGCACCTTGTTTTTTGACAGTGAGAATCTTCCTGGTCAAACTGGCCCCCTGGCCCCCGGGTTACAACAACAACGTCTCCCGCCTGAGACTTCCTCACGATTTAGCCAGGACCCCCGCTCCCGCCCGAGACTTCCTCGCATTTTATTCAGGAATCGCGCTCTCGCTTGGGACTCCCTTACAATTTATGCAGGAATCGTTCTCCCGGCGCTCTGGAGTCGCGCTCTCGCTGGAGACTTGCTTGCAACTTACTGAAGACTGGCCTTGCATGGGAATTTCTTGCAATTTGCCAAAGCGCCGCGCTCCCGACACCCAGGCACCCAGGAGTTGCGCCCGTTGTGGCCCCATGTGCATGTCCTTCGTGGCCCCGCTGTCGCCAGTTGTGTCCCCCTCACTGTCCTACGTGGCCCAGTTGCTACCCTCAGTGGCCCCATAGTTGCCTTCAGTGGCCCCGCAATATCTGCACTTCGTGGCCCCCGCTCGTTCGCGCTCTTCGTGGCCCCATACGCATTCCCTTCGTGTCCCCGCTGGTGCCCTTCGTGGCCTACTTCGTGCCCTTCGTGGCCCTGCTGTCGTTCTCTCTCGCTCTCGCTTTCGCTCGTCGTCGCCGTCGTCGTCGTCGCCGTCGTCTTCGACGTCGTCGTCGTCGTCGTCGTCGTCGTCGTCGTCGTCGTGGTCGGTCCCCTGTCCGTCCCTCTTGGGGTCGGGTCGACGGTCCGCGGCCGCCCCGCCGATCAGCGCTGCCGCTGGCCAGGCCGACGGTCCGCGGCCGCCCCGCCGCTTGCCCGGGGCCCGGCCTGCAGGGAAGAAAGGTATACCCCCCAAAAGGGGTTCGATCGAAGACGAAGAGGGCGGGTATCGAGGGTTTGGGAAATACGCGTTATTGGGCACTGGAGCATGTAAGGGCGATCGGTCTTACATTTATTATTATTATTATTATTATTAGTATTATTATTATTATTATTATTATTTTTATTATTATTTTAGTATTATTATTATTATTGCTGCTGCTGCTGCTGCTGCTGCTGCTGCTGCTGTTGTTGTTGTTGTTGTTGTTGTTGTTGTTGTTGTTGTTGTTGTTGAGGTTTAATGACGAATCAATTATTATTGTTTGACCCTTTACAGACGCCCTGGCGCTCTCGCCGAGGCGCTGGCTGCATTTTCATTGAAAATGAGGCTCGCTCTACAGCGGTTTGGGGGACCGCCCAAACCGGCCCCCCAACAACAACAACGTTCCCGTTCGAGTTTTCTTCCTTCTTACTCAGGGCCGGTGCTCTTGCTCGCCGCCGAAAGCAGCCGTCTCAAAAAAAACAACGCTCCCGCTCGAGACTTCCTCCCGTTTTACCGTGGACAGACGCGTTACTCTTTCTCTCATCGGTGCCGCCCCCCAGCAACAACAACGCTCCCGCTCGAGACTTCCTCCCTTTTTTTGCTCAAGGCGGTGCTCGTGCTTGCCGCCGACAGCCCCCGTCCCGACAAAACCAACGGTCCCGCCCGAGACCTCCTCCCGTTTTGCGCTTGACTGGCGCCCTTTTCTCCTCCTCCTCCTCCTCCTCCTCCTTCTCCTCCTCCTCCCCCTCCTCCGTCTTCCTCCCTCCTCCCTCAATCCTTCTCCCTCTCCTCTTCCTCCTCCTCCTCCTCGTCCTGTCTCCTCCTCCTCCTCCTTCTTCTCCTCCTCCTCCTTTCCTCCTCCTCCTATCCTCCCTCCTCCACTCCTCCTCCTCCTCCTCCTACTCCTCCTCCTCCTCCTCCCCTCCTCCTCCTCCTCCTCCTCTTCCTCCTCCTCCCTCCTTCCCCTCTCTTCCTCCGTCGTTCCTTCCTCCACCCCTTCCTCTTCTCCGTCCTCCCTCCTCCCTCTCCCGTTCCTTTTTCCTCCCTCCTCCCTCCTCCTCCCTCCTTCTTTCCCTTTTCGTCCCCCTTGTCTCCTCCCTCCTGCTGCCTCCCTCCCCCTCCTCCCTTCTCCCTGCCCCTTCCGTCTTCTCTCGCCGCTCCCGTTTGATACTTCCTCACCTTTTACTCAAGGCTGGGGCCCTCGTTTCGGCATCGCCTCTGGGGGACTTCCAAGAGTCCCCATTGATTCGTAATTATTGGATCACTGCCATTTCTGGAGAGCATAGATGATGTGGAGGAGGAGGAGAAGAAGGAGGACGGATGATTTCTAGGGGCTCCAAGGATCGAGGGTCGAAGGATTGACTCCAGGGATTCCTTGAGAGGGTGTGGAGGGGCAGGTGGAGGCGGTGGCGCAACACTTCGAACGAGGAGTGAGAACCACTTCGTCTTCGGAGGTACTGCTACAACAACTACTCTTTCCTCCTCCTCCTCCTCCTCCTCCTCCTCCCTCCTCCTCCTCTTCTCCCTCTTCCTCTCCCTCATCTTCCCTCCCCTCCTCGTCCTGTTCTTCCTCCTCCGAGATGCGGGGCGCGCGCAAGGCGATTGCGATGGCGATGTGCCGTTCGAGCTGTGGATGTCGAAATTCCTCGGAAGAGGTGGTGACATTACTTTTTCTGGGCGGGAGATATGGGCGGGGGAATATCGGGCCCCGGGTGCCATACCGATCCCCCATGATGGGATGTGGTCTCCGTGCGGATGCATGTCACGTGTGGAAGCGTGGCGCGCGATGGTAAATGGTCGTCGTCGTTGTTGTTGTTGTTGTTGTTGTTGTTGTTGTTGTTGTGGTTGTGGTTGTGGATGTTGTTGTTGTCGTTGTTGTTGTGGTGTTCGAATTTTCACTTCGGACGAGTAATTATTGTGTAGCCCGCCCGTCCAGTGCACATTATTATGTATGTATATATATATATATATTATATATATATATATATATATATATATAAAATCAGGGAACGTCTTGGGGGTCAAACTGTGTCGTTGGCCCCCGGTTTACAACGACAACAACGGCTCCCGCCTGATACTTCTGTACAATTTCTTGAAAAATCGCGCTCTCCATTTGGGACTTCCTGGCAATTTACCACTGGATCGCGGCTCCCGCCAGATACTTCCTCACAATTTATTGAAGAATCGCGCTCTCGCTTGGGACTTCCTCGCAACTTACCACCGAATCGCGGTTCCCGCCTGGCGCTTCCTCACAATTGTTTCAGATGCCGATCCTCGACGCTGAGGAATCGCGCTCCCGCTACGCATTGCCTG